GCTAAAATGTTCGGTAAAATGAGCTGTAACCATAACATTTTATCAGAAGTAGGACCACTGGATTTTGTATTCATAGACTCTTTCACGAACCATTTGAAAACATACAGAATTCCAATCGTTAATAAAATTGTTCGTAATATATGTTATAACACTAAATACTAGCCGACTCGTATGATGAAGTGAATATTCGCCGGTTTGTATGTGTCTGGTATTAAAATACTATATGATGAAATATACCAATGGGTATAAAAATACTGAACACTAGCCGTTTCGTATTACAATGTGCGAAGGAGCGTGTTATAAAAACAACCAGATGTTCAATTCTGTTTTCATTTTTTTTCTCTTTTTTCTTTCTATATCATGATCAATATATATAGTGTCTCTGTAGATAAGTAGCACGCTTTTGACTACGGTAGTATGAACAAACGTGGGGACAATTAAGTCAGGAAGCAGAAGTAGGATGTGAAAATAATGTATAGGTCTGATAAAGCTCAGGTGAAAAAAATAAAGTTTCAGAAAATAATTGAATGTATTACGATGAAAAATATAAAACGTTAATACCATTTTTATTTGCCATATATGTAAATGCAAAACATACCTTTTTAATATCATTTCAAAGTAGAGTAAATGATATATCTTAATACCATTTTTAATATACTGGTACACATAGAAGAGATCTTCTCTTATATATTCTGAATTCTGTGTTTCTGAATTCTGTGTTGTGTCATTTGTTCTGTGCAATTCAAATCATTTTTTTGTTTTGTTTGTCAGATAATTTTTCGATGAAGTAGGGAAAGTTATAGACCTAATTCCATTGGATGAGAAAACAATCATTCAAGCTTTTGCCATATTTATTTATCAAGCAAATGAAATTGGAAATTACTCAAAAGAAGAATGTTACAATAACATGTTTGCCTCTATTTATGCAATACTTTTCTAAATGCTGTTGTTTAACCTGTCGAAATGAAGTTGTATTTACCCAGTTTGCTGCCATGAGTCATTATTATTACATCCACATCGTTGTTATATTACATACATTGTACGAAAGTTTTTAAACATTAGCATGATAAAAATGTATATATTTTCATTCAATTAAACATCATTGTTTTGTTCAATATTATTGTGTTCATTTTCACTCAGCGGTGTTCAAAACAAAACTCAATTTCCGATGTACATCCAGATAGACATCCTCGAATCTCCAGGGTTGCGCTCATTTTCGCTCTCTACAACCTTGGAATATGTCAAAGCAAATTTGAAGGCACAAAATTAACTGTTCGATTGGTCTCGGGTGAAAAACCGTGACCAATCGCTAAGCTGATACTTGTCCTGTGAAGGCTATGAAGGAGCGGCGCCCGACTTCAAAGCCAGTCAATGTTTACCGTTACGCGACCGCAAGATTCTTTCGATGTTCAACAAAGGATCGAACTAGTCTTCCTGTCTCATCAACAAGGTGGCGGACACTGAGCCTTCGATTTTGCTATGACATGCTCCAGGATTGCAGAGAGCGAAAGTAAGCGTAAACCCTTGAGTATCTAGGATGCACGACAGGGGGAATGGGTTTCTATATGATATGATAAAATATAGTTTGATATTAAAGAAAGCGTCTCAGTAAAATGACTTTAAGACAAAAATATCAAAACTACATCTTCTTATACTGTTGTATAAATAGCTGAAGAATCCCTGTCCCCTGCACTTCGGTTTTCCGTATTACGTATATACAGTAACTGTAGCATCCGTCGACCAGGTTGGGTCAGGACACTTCCGTCGACCAGGTTGGGCCAGGACACTTCCGTCGACCAGGTTGGGCCAGGACATTTCCGTCGACAGGTTGGGCCAGGACACTTCCGTCGACCAGGTTGGGCCAGGACACTTCCGTCGACCAGGTCTGACCAGGACACTTCCGTCGACCAGGTTAGGCCAGAACACTTTCGTCGACCAGGTTGCAAAGTCAGTTATAGGAACAGTATAAAAATCTGAGATCAATTATTCAAACCCCGATCTAGCCTCGCTAAAACATATCACTCAGAACACTGTAGTTGACTAATTATTTTTTTATCATTTATTTCACCTTTATCATTTTAAAAAAAGTACCCCATGGGATGGCTTTCTCCAGAACTGAACAGATACACTTCCCAATGCGTAGTTAGTGTTTGGCAGTGGTACGGAGATCCTTAAACATTAAATATATTACAACGTCAGAACAAAATTGTCACCTCACGTGATTATGTTAACAGTCTTGCTTGGCACATATTTATGACGGTGCTACATGTTTGGGTACCAACTATAGAAGATAATGAAAACTGTTCAACTTTTAGGGAAATGAGGTTGGTTGAGCACGATTATTTTGGGAAGCGGTTTTTATATTTAGCTAATGATAAAATATGTTTACCTATCTTAATTGTCTTTAGTTCTTGTTGCTATCAATTACACTCTTGTTACCCTTGGCAAGTCAACCTAATCATGGCATATTGTTGGAGTAACGGATCACATGAAAAAGAGGTTATTCTAACATGATAGTTGACATAAAAAAACGTTCAGTACCTCCCAGCGTCTTTATATATGTGGGCGACATCGGAATAAAGCTAACGCACAAGTATAACCGAGCGAGGCTTATACAGACGCAAAGGTTGAAATGATATGCATCTTCAAAAAAGAGAACAAAGAAAAATACATTATTTAATGAATATTTACCTCATTAGGCTAAATAAAGGATCAATATTGAGTTTTTAATATATTTTGATGGAATGGAAAAAAACCTGTTATTGATTAAAACATATATGATACATTAAAGCTGGATGTTAAAAAGTCCAATGCCGAAATATATTACACTGTACTTAAATATGTTGATACTGTACATATAAAATTTATTTGTATAACCAAAGCAGTGACGACTGATGTAGAACAGAGGGTCAGCAAGGTCACTGTAGGAAAAACAGTGCATGGGGTGTAAAACTAAATTGAATGTTAATGTAAACAGGTGATACATGGGAAACACTGTCATTTTGAGAATATCAGAAGAACAGAAAACTTAATATAATATTAGTCGTGTCCGCGAGAATGGCAGAGAAAAATAAGTATTACCAAACCCCCAGATATTAACAAAGCTACCTCTTTCGAGATCCCCACTGTAGAAACTAGTTCCTGATGTTAATTACATGTTTGCGAACCTAGAATACAGAAAAGTGTGGCCACGAACCTCTCAGGGAGATCCTGCAATCACAAGATGGGTGACAATGTGATTATTTAGTGCACACGTAAGTATGCGACTGCCACGTCAATGGTCAAAACGATGATGAAATACCTGGAATGCATGTACGGACTCACTGTTTTTTAACATGATAAACAGAGTTTGCGGACTAATGTCATTGTATAATTATGCCGAGTAATATTTTATAGATATGTCCATTAAACAAAGATAAGTGTATTAAAGCAAAGAATTAATCTGATCAAACTCGTTGAACACATGGGCAGAGCCAGAAAGACGCAGCTGTCAACCCGTTAGATATTAAAATGTTCTTGCAACATTTGTCGTCATTGTCTAAATCAACGCCGCAATAAAGATTAACCTCGAGGGTCACAATACCAGGATACCACGTAAAGCAGTATTAAGGGGTCAAACTAAAACAAAAGGAATCATACGGTGTCCATGTCATGTATGACAAGCCCTAAAAAGAACATAATTCAGAAAACTGACTCGATTTCTAAAATGAGTATGGGGTATATTCAACTTGCGAGATCGCCAATGAAGAAAAATAGTTCCTGATGCTGCTTACACTATTAAGAATTTGCTTGGAGAAAAAATGCTTTTAAGAAGGAAGTATATTGGTCAAGAAGAACAGAAACGTGTTGGCACGAGCCTCTAAACGGCGGACAGACAACTCTACAACAGTTGCAATAGCTTACTTGGAAAACCAGAGGGCACCAGATCTCATATTCTACGTCCTTTTGTAACTTTGGTTTCCTTCTGCTCTACGACATGTATTTGACCATGAAGGTCAAGCATCTTTCGGGCCGTATGAAACTGCCCGATACCTTCTCTAGTCAGTAACTGGTGCTAACGATATGGCAACTGACGTCTTCGATTTTCCTGGCGGTTTGACATGCACGGTACACACCTCGTAGATATGTTTGGAAATTTAATTTCTGTAGCATACAACACTAAGTTGTCGACCCACATCTCCCTAATTCAAAATTCAAATACTTGTCTCCCTGGACGGGCACAAAATGAATACGTGTGCATTACTTTCAGAACAGAACCGTGTTGGCACGAGCCTCTAAACGGCGGACAGACAAACACCAGGCGACATAGCTTCAGACTTCATAGCGTCCCTTTTGGCCGAAGCAAACGTCTAGAGCTACTATTGCTTCTATTGGATCAGCTCTGCATTACCTTCAACTTTCGATCTGCTCCATCTGCCCCTCTCCGGTACATATCCACGCATGAAAATTGAAGGTCTAGCTCAGATAGGCTTTCCTGCTGACGTGGCAGATTGTAATCAAGTGTTCCTCTTCTTCCGTCCACCAGCTTTAGTGAAAAGTATATTGATCCAGTCAAGGCAAACGTTATTGTCAATGCGTTTTTTCTTCGGGCTTTGCTTGCAGAACTAAGTCTTGCTATGATTCTGTGACTGCTAGTGAGTTTGCTTTTCATGGCAGACGGAAATTTAGCACTGCTCCTTTTTGTCTGCTTAAATCAGATGTTTTGTGTGGGACTAACCCAAAGTCAGTGCTTCACAGCCAATAAGACACTTATATCACAAATAATCTAAAATAATTTCACTACTTGATCCAGCTCATGAGCGACTCATTTTAAACAAATACATTCTTTTCAATCATTCCTAATTGGATAATTTAATATGACATGTGGACAAGCAATGCATAATACAATAATATGTCATGTTGTCATGGCTGATAAAATCTCTTTTTATCTCTATATTTCATACAAGGCAGTTATAGTTTAATTTCCACATGATGGTCTAAAGAAACCTCAAACACTTATATATATGTATTGACAATGTCAATAAAATTTATTATGTTTTTGGATGCATTTCTGCAATGTGACAAAATGTTACAGAATTGGACTATTTATACAACAGATGATATTCTACAAGATCATACACCGATATTAAAGCCTTATCCACAAAGCACTTTTGTCAGCATATACAAGTCTACTCACATGGTATACGTTCAGCTATGTACGTGATATATAGACAATGATAATTCAGAACTATATATATACATTTCTTCTCCTGAACATACAAATAATGCATATTTAATATTAGTGCCAATTACATTTCATCAGGGTTTTTTCAGAAATCTTTCCTTTATTTACTACTTTTCCATGTCATTATCAGTTATTGAATACAAGCTGTAAAGGTTATCAACATTAAATCCCTACTCATCATGATTTGACTTCCTATGAGCAGTCTAACAATGACCTTGACCTTGAAATCTTTCACTTTGAGTGAACAATATGCTTTAATAATAACAGTTACATAGTTCAGAATCACCATGTATTAAGCAGTACATGGTCAAGGTGATACAGGAAGGCCATTCAGTGATATCAAGCCGATACAAACCATTATCATAAATATTTTGGTTGAAATTGTACAACTTTGGTTACGTCCCACATGCTTCCTGTACGTAACAAAAAGGTTTTTAACAAGGCAAGCTTCTGAATACTGCAAATATAGGAAAGGTTCTTGGGAAGGTAAGACAGTATCTGTGAGGTCCAAAGTAGATAAAGATGATTTGGTTTTGTGAATTAGAAATGTTATTTAATCTTAAGTTCAAATCAAAATGTAAGGAATAACAATCTTTACAACATAATGCTTACTTACACAAACTTCATGAACGTATATAAACGGAACATACTATATCAGAACAGTGGAAATAAACATGAACTAAAGGTCAAATAACAAAACAAACTAATTTGAACAAAATCGGTTTGAGAGGCAAAACAATGCAATAGAAATCTGAAAATGATACAAATAATTCTGCCACACTATTGGTTAAATAATTTTGAAGTTTCAATTTAGAAATGGAAATAAATGACATAACATTACCAAAATACTTTCAGTAGTAAGATTTATACTTATTTAATACTGACTGTTCCTCATCAAATTATCGAATTAATTTTAACGTGTTCACATTAACATAAGTACCCAATTGTTTACTAACAAACAAAAAATGAGAGAAAAGATTAACCAGTGTGTTTCTTTTCCATGCATGATTCCGTCATGTTTCTTCATAAAATAAAATCTAGAAACCATTAATAACCAACAGCTTCCTAGATCAAACATTAGACTGTAAAGGGAGTTTGAAAAATAAAAAACATTTGATTGCTCGACTTTACTTGCAAAAAAATCATCACCTATTTTGACAACAATGTAAAGCATTTCAGACTTTAAATTACAGTTTTAAATATGTCAACATAAACTAATAAAAAAGGTCAACAACAAAAAACATTGCACATACTATTCTGTCACAATGTAATTCCATGGACAACAGCTTTATACAGCAATGTTCAGGTGCAAATATATATATATATCTATATATATATAACAAAGCATTTACAAAGCGGAATAAAGTAAGCACGAAATAAATTAAGATTCCAAATCAATTTTACAGACAAATCATATTTTCTCATTTTGAAGTCATCATACTAGTCTTTGAGAAATGCTCCTTTAGACAAACTCATATAGTTTCTAGCCTTCGGACTTATCAGAGTACGCAGAAAGTACAAGTTACTACCATCCATCTGTGTCATAGAAAATTATATATCGCAAACTTTTTAGGGAGAAAATTCTAATACATATTACCCTGATGACTTTTATTAAAAGTAACATTTTTCTTGAATTTGAATTTCGACAATATTTTTTCCCCAATATTCTGGAAAAATTTGAACCACTTGTTTTCATCATCGTTTTTAAATCTAAGTGAACATGAGCTATTTCCTAAACTTTGAGACATTGGAAAACAGTACTACCCACACCCAACATTTAAAGATCCAATAAGCAAAAAAGTGATAACTGTTTTATACATGTATTCCTTTTATTCACCAATTGTCATACCGGTATTTTATAATTTATAGTTCTTGATACATTATCACTTAACTGCCTCGCTCTGTATTTTTTTAAGAAAACTTTTACAGCAAATTTTCTAAACTGATATCACATGCATGTGCCTGGAAAAAGACTTAAACTGACTTTTCTCAGATTTTACAAGTCCTTGTCGATGTTTCTTGTTAAGCAAGTCCTTAAGCATATCTGCAAATTCAACTATGATTTAGTCAAGAATCTGAATGTGATATTCACAATATACATAAATAAAATTACTCTTTGACATATGAGAAAATAAAGCATTACTTCAATCAAATAATATTTAAGTATCTACATGATGCCCGCGCCAAGAAAATAAGTTTGTAATTCTTAATAAGTTGAAGAAGGAATCATTTAAAGAACTAACGCATGCGTTAATTGATTTGTTCTCATGGGAGCTTAAAAGGTTCATAACTTTAAGTACATCTTATTTTAGCTGAAACATGTTTGAAAATGGTCATTTACAGAAAGAAACACAAATGAAAATCATTTCACAACCCAAAACATCCAAATTGACCTTTATTATTGAAGAAAAAAAATCGGAAAACAGATGCTTCAAAAAAAACAACCATGAAATAATAGTTTCGCTATATAAAAAAAAAAATCCCTTTACAATATAGAATACAGATTCAAACTCCCAATGGTGTAGTGTGACAGATAGAACACAGAAGTGAAGTATTCACTTTATAGAATCGATGAGGTATGTGAAGAAATATGTATACAAATACTGAGGAACAACATCCATAAAACTGGCTGTACACAACTATTGCCTTAGCTTTGTTTCACACACACCAAAGTAATATGTATGTTTCTCCTCTCGATCCATTTCATCAATATATGTGTTACCAACAGAAGCTTGGCTTTCACAGAAAGTCTAGGACTAGTAATTCACAAAGTGTGATTTCTGGTTAATATTTAGTCTGGCCCTGATTTCGTCATGTACTATTTCAATGGTAAAAACCCGTCGGAGAGCATAGCTTGATTGGTGGTTTGAGATGTTTATGGAACCCAGGGCCAAGCTCTCAATCCTGTCTAGTACATTATTACAGCCCAGACTTCCTCGACCACAAGTCTCGGGAGATAGATCATAAGAACTGATCACTTCAGGAAATCAGACCGATGGTTGGACAAAAATATTAGGATCTGTCCCACAGGTAAATCAGGACACAGACTCAATCAGGTTATCTATCGGCCCACTGTCAAGGAGAGGTGTGCTGTTATTTGAATCTCGGGAAGACACCTCTACACCACAGTCATTAATTGATGGGTCACTCACAACTCTAGTAGTGTCCACAACAGATTCCTCCTCTATCACAGTTTCTTCAATACCACTCTCTAACTCAAACTCCGTTTCAGTGGATTCTGAGAATCCCTCCTGTATCCCCGCCCCCGTGATGTCCATAGCATCAGTGTCCTGTGCCAAGACCGTTGGCATAACCTGGCACTTTTCACCAACAACAGCACGAGCCTCTTCCCCAGGGAGGAGATTCTTACCACTGTCCTCGGTATTTTCTGTGAGAGGATTATTACACTCGAGGGCTGAATCGTCCACCAGAGATGTGTGCTCCTCCTCGTCCACTGGAGATGTGTCCATTGTAAGATCCATTGACTCGTGACAAGTCAGGTCCTGTGGTTCTGATTTGATGACTGGCACTTGGTTGTCAGGAGCCTGGGAGTCCATGCTATGGGGGAAGCGAGGGTCTGAGGTGACAGGGGGAACATAGGAGTCGGAGCAGTGTAGATTTCTACACCTATAGCATTGATACTCCTCGTCCTCCGAGATCTCCTCTGCCCCTAAGCCTACACACAGAAGGTGGTACCAATCCTCACAGCGATCACACTGTACCCAGTTCACTTCTTCACCTGTAAAGAAAAAGACAGGTTAGTATTAAGGTAATAGGATTGTGTCACCATTTCTCAGTAGAATTTCTTTAAATTTTGTAGTTATATTGCTTTAAAGTAAAGAAAATTTTCTGCCACAAAAAAAATACAGGTTGTCAGAATTTTAAGGATTTTAAATGGAAATTTATGTAAAAAGGAGTGAATTTTGAAAAAGAAATGAAATGATGTCAATAAAAATAATACTGACATACATTAGTATTGCATTAATGTATATCAATTTAATGAATGCTGAAATTGTGTAAAAATCTCTATACACGATATAAAAATTGACATTTTATAATAAAACCATATACACATAGTAATTGCAGGTAAGAGTTATTGTTCTTGAAAAACTTCACAGTAGTGAAATAGGTAGCCGATTTCCTGAAGTAAAGAAAAAATGGACACATGTGACTCACTGATAAAAAAAACCCTGAATTAATGCCTGGATTGCTTTGAAATACTTTAATATCGAGAGAACACATTGTTCTGTCAATAATAAACATACAATATTCATCAGTTTAATATTAAACATTAGAATTTGCGGAAATTGTGATACTGTCTCCCCACATTGGATTTTCAACTAGGGATGTACTTCCTGTTTCCGTTTATCAATACACTCCAATGACCTTAAGCAAAAATTAAATGGTTATCTATTTGTTGGTGGGAAAGAAAATGTATTGAGAGTAATAAGCATTTGTTGATTAAATCAATAATATACTTGTACGATTGTAGGTTGTAGGTTTGAGGAGAACACACCTGTAGGTTTGAAAACACACTGTGCAACAATACACCTGTAGGTTTGAGAACACACCTGTTTGTGTAACAGCTTACCTGTAGGTTTGAGAACGCACCTAGAACACACTTGTAGGTTTGAGAACACACCTGTTGGTGCGACAACATACCTGTTGGTTTGAGGCATTTGGTTGCAGCACAGTCATCATCATTCTCATCGTCTTTATCATCGTCGTGCCTGACCAGACTTCCCTTCCCTTTCCTTTCCCGTTTTACTTTCGGTTTCATTCTCTTCTTTTTGATGAGCTCCTCGACCACTACTACTCCTTCTTTCTTAACTACTTTCATTTTTTTCTTCTTCAGTTTCTCCTCTCCTAATTTCTTTAATCTGTCGGCTTTCTCTCCAGCCTTCTTTATCTTTTCAGCCTCCGATGCTATAGTTGATATGTCCATGCTTGCAGCTGATGAAGACAAAAAAAAGTAAAATAAGTGTTCACACATTTAAATTTGTGCAGAACTGCTGGTCGATAACCCTTGAAAATCACTGTGTAATAAAAATAAAATGCATTAAAACAAAGAAGACGTCATTTTGAAACAACAGGATCAAGATAATCTGCAGATAAAATCAGTAGTAAGAATATTTACCAATTTCCATGTTGTCTAGGTCCTTAGCTACTTTCTTTTCCTTGATGGGGTCTTTCTCTTTCTTGATTTTGATTTTCTTGACCTTCATCATGGCAGCAACACCTCCTCCTCCTCCTCCACCGCCCCCTCCTCCTCCTCCTCCTGCTTCCCCAGCACCTGCTTCAGCTACCTCCTTCACTTCTTTGCTCTTCTTCATCTTCACTTCTGTCCCATCCTCTAACTTCTTCCTTTTCTTCTTTTTCTTCTCAGGGTCTTTCTCCTTCTTTATCTTGATCTGCAGCTTTTCACGCTCGCTGCTGATGGGAATACTGGTTATGTTATCCTGCAATAATAAATTAATTGTCTTTAAATATAGGTTCCCCTCATCTTAGGCATTATTACACCATTTAAAAGATTGAAAGCCTTACAGTGACTCATAACTTATTTACAATAAGTTGATGATAGTCATTTGATGCTTATATTTTTTTTTTCAGTGCTTGTACCATGCAGTTTTTACCATGAAAGGAAGTGAATCAATTCCATGGCTTGAATCTGGTGGATTTGATGTTGCTACCATTCAGTACCACATCACAAACAGAGACAGTGAAATGGTAAAAGCTATTGGGTAGCTCAATTCATTTTTACATATATTGAAAGCCAACTCAGTTCAGCTAAAATCAGTCAATGAGTGTGATACATAACAGCCTGATGTTGTTTTCTAAATGAAATATAGATATTTAAATGACAAATCTAATATACAGCTTAGATCTAGGGCATACCTTACTGTCCTCTAGTTCAAGGAACTTGTGGTCTGCCCTAGGCTGGCAGGCCTGTAGGATCCTCCAGATGTGCTGTGTCTCATCCAGTGACACTTCCAGAAGGTCTCCTTCCATCATCAGTTCCTCTAGTTGACTCTTGGCCGTGCTTGAAAGCTCCAGGACCGGGGCCTCAAGGGTCCGGGCCACCAGCGGCGACTTTCTCTGGTGTTTACGTGGTGATGCATCTACAAAACCATCAGGTAAATGCAATTAATTATTTTTGAAATAAAAGCACATAAAGAAGTCCTTTTTGACATTTTTATCTAAACACTAAAGTCCTGAAGATGTAAAAAAATTAAGCATAGACTTTTTCTACTTTTCCCATCCCTGTAAATTTCTGGTAATTTGATATTTTAGTGCAATGATAAAGTTATACTAACCGACTCTTTCTCATGTTTTTATTTTGCCATGTCAGTAAAAACAAGAGGTCCTGTGACCCCATCTTTCTGATATTTTTTATTTGACCTCTAAACCAAGGAAGTCCAACATATATTAGCCAATCAGAACATAAAAGAACTTTGTATTACACTGGTCAAGACCTGTATCTCCATTTATAAAAGGTAAACAATGACTCAATTCATAGATCATGTAGGCCATCTTTGATATCCTACAATGGATGTCAAAAACGTCTCTGCCAATAAAAAGTCTGGCCATCATCATGTAATGAAAGAAGATCAGAGGAGGAAAAATTTGTCAAAATGTCACGACTTTCCATAAACTTCCATTAAAAAGATGACTGTAGGTACATTTATTAACATGATTAAATTTGCCAACAAGGAGAGTACTTACTGTTACTGGTTTTGGAGGCTGAAGAATAAGCATGCTCTGACATGCCACTGTGGTTTTGTTGCTGTTGTGCTGAACTGATCACCTCCACCTCCATCTGAATGTCGTCCGAGTTATGTGACGACTGAGGTGACAATGGAATTGTAAATGAGTTTTCAGCCTCCAAACTGAAGTTCCCAGAATCTGAATGCTTCCCAGACAAGGATGCACTAGCAGACCCACCCCCACCTCCCGCAGTCCCACCAAAAGCACTTTGAGTTACACTGGCTAAATGTCCCTGTAACTCTGGATTATTAGCAGCTTTAAGCAGTTCTGCGTTTATAATTTTCTCAGTTTTTTCGCGTGCCGCCTGTTCCACCATTCTTTGACTCAACACACTGAGTTTAGCCAAAGCTGAGGCGAGTTCACTTGTGGTTAGAGCTTGGCGGGCACGGTCCTGCCAGGCCATGGCACGTTCTGTTAAACACTGAAGGGCCTCCCCCTCTGGCAAGCGCACTGGAAGTTTCTGGAGGGATACGAGGAGTGAAAGTATTGTCTCTAGTCGAGGGCGTCGCGACCTTAAGCACTGGGGACATAAAAACTTGAGATCTTTGGCAGCCTGTACAGCTGCTGCCTGAGACGACTTATTTTTCATATTTGCAGATTTCGGAAGTGGTACACATGTGCCTGCAAACAAAATTATTTAGTGTTAGTTTTAAACATTATAGTTTCAATGTTTGCATCTAGAAACAATTCTTTTCAATGATACAGCATACAGTTATGAAATTTGTTGTAAGACAAAGAAGTTCAGTTTAACCTCAGCGTCTACATTCAAGTGACTTACTATGAAACCTGTTCTTACAGCGTTTACACTGTAGCCTCTATATATTATAGTGACTTGATTGAATTGAATTGAATAATAATGGACGAAGGCTTACAGCCTCTAGGTCCATATCAACAAATATTTAACAAATAGTTTAGACGAGTGTCAATAACAGCATCATAAATATTTAAAACATAGTCATATTGTCGTATCATAGACTGTTTCTTTAAAATGTTTATCTATTAAAATTTAACTTACCATGGAACCAGTCCATGCAGAGTTCACACTGTAACCTCTATATATTATAGTGACTTACCGTGGAACCAGTCCTTGTATTGTTCACACTGTAATCTCTATATATCATAGTGACTTACCGTGGAACCAGTCCTTGCAGAGTTCACACTGTAACCTCTATATATTATGGCGACTTACCATGAAACCAGTCCTTGCAGGGTTCACACTGTAACCTCTATATATTTGTGACTTACCGTGGAACCAGTCCTTGCAGAGTTCACACTGTAACATGAAGCCTGAGGCTCCCTTCCGACACACACAGTACTTGACTTCCTCCCCCTCCTGATTGATCTTGCTCACATTCCTATCCCTCAGCTCACACATACAGTCCACCTCCTTCTGCTCGGCCACTTTAAATGCTGCCACCTGACAAAATAACAACAATTTAGTCTATTTTAAGGCAAGAAATCATTGGATCAAACTATTATAAATTTAACAATACACCTCAACATCCTTTTTCTTCAATGAAATTTTTCTTCAATGAAATGCACAGCACAATATGTTAACAATGATATTCTTGGATTAAATCCACCTGACTCTGACATCCAAGGATCAAATCCACATGGAACACAAATGGTGTTACAGAATTGTAGATCTTTCCTTTGAATTAGTTGTAGCATGCAGTTTAATCCATGAAAGGAAGTGAATTAATGTCAAGGCTTGAATCTGGCATTTTGTTGTTGTTGCTTCATTTAAGTTCCCTACCACAAATATAAATATCTACATAGGTAATACAAGTGTAGTTGTTTTACCGAGATAAGCAAGGATAGCACCTGTGTCTACAGACACACTAACAGTAAGTTTTACCTATAACACTAATACTGCCTGGTTTCAACGCGAGAACTTACAATAGCTGCTGGGTCTCGCTGGTCTTCTATCTTGATGTCGAGGTTGTTGTTATTGGTTTCAACATCCTTCTTTTCCTTCTCGCCCTCCTTGAACTTTTTCTTTTTGTTTTTACCTCCACTATAGATGCCGATGTCAGCTCGGGGAGACAACACCTGAATCACATTCATGTGGTAGGTTTTAATTTTTTTCATTGATATGGAATCCTACTCTCTTAATGAATGACAGTCTATTATAAGTATAAAGACAGAGCAGGTACTCACCGTTACAGGGCTGAAACACAATGTTACCTACCTCTAGGAGGGAGTAGGTACAGTTCTTTTTGAGGAATGTTCTGGCAGTCCTCTCCCTCCAGGACTTGGCAGCAGCTACCTGAGACTCGACCTGTGGTAGCTGGTCCAGACGGACAGGGATGGGCCGGCCCTTGTTGACCAACGTCTCCAGGATGTCCAGGTAGGGGTACGAGTCAGAATTCTGGTAAACAAATAAAAGATATGACATCAAAATAACCTCCTGGATTTATTTGACCCACAATCTAAAAGATATTAACACAATTCTTATGTTTGAGATGATTTCCATCTATGTAAATGCTGTTTACCTGCACATTCTCCACCCTCACTGTCCAGTCCTTGGCTTTCCTTAGGGCATCTTTTAGAGCAGTTACATTTGGCAAGTAGGCGGGAATCCCCTTTGCTTCATTAATAATGGCCTCCAGGGTAGCCATCACATGACGAGGTCTGAAATAAACAACAAAATTCATAAACAACATGATTTTTTTGGTGTGTTTGTGTTTTACGTACTATTAACAGCTATGGTCATTTAAAGACGTGCCAGGTTTCGGTGGTGGAGGAAAGCCCAAGTTCCCGTAGAAAAAACACCGACCTACGGCCAGTACCTGGCGACTGCCCCACGTAGGTCTCGAACCCTTGTTGTGTGATTAATTAATCATACTCTTGTACCATGCAGTTTGAACCACAAAATGAAGTAAAATCATTTCACAGCTTGATTACGATGGATTTTATGTTGCTACCATTCAGTTCCATACCACAAATGTAATCATGAAATGGTAAAAGCTATTGGGTAGCTAAATTCAAATGTTTGTCAAATATACCATAGATAGAACACTGAAATGTTATGATAACTAAAATAGTTAGAAATGTTCTAATGTTAGCTACAAAATGAATTATTGTAGTAGTTTATACAATTTTTGTTGATTAACAAATTTTGTTTACCATTTCCATTTATATGTTGAATTAAAAGACATTAGCTCCATAGACTAGTCTTTCCTAGATTTATCCCTAATATGGTCATGCAGCTTGTGCCCCGGCCGACAGAAAGCACAACCAGCATTATACAAAATTACTCTTTACCCAGAGATGCACTATAGTTTAAATATGCTCATTTATTCTTCAGTTTCACAAGGGAGAAGTTCACTGATGGCTAACAGCAAGTTGTATTGAGACTCGAGGCAAATCAGAAAATGCAGGGATCATAATCTTGACATTGTTACCTGGCCTGTAGGCAGATCCTGGCTTTCTCCTCCCATCGCTCGCTGATGGTGAGAAGCTCCTGGAGCTCTGCCATGGCTTTCTCTACGGCAGGATGTGGGGCTAGGCCAACACCAGACTCCATCAGTTCTCTCATCACATCCAGGGTGACATTCAGAGGGTCTCGCAGTGTCAGACGTACCTCGTCCAGCCACTTGGCTTGTTGTAGAACCTGAGGGTCAACAAATGTTTTATACAATACAATGATCATTGCAAGACAATTTGCAATTGAAAATTTCCTATGATTTATGTCTATACAATAAATTGAGGTTAAGGTGAATTAATTCCTAAAAACATCTTTAAACATCTGAAATGATCCCAAAGAATATTCCTTAAAATTCTGAAAACAGGATACATGTACACATTAAAATATGCAACCTCTGAACTGACATTGTACAATTTCCCCAAGTGGACAGAAAATGTTGTTTTCAATTCCAAACATCAACATGAGCTTTCCTTCAAATCAACACCAACGGAAAAGACAAGCATTAATCAAGGTGCCACACCTGTTTGAGTCTTGGTATTTCTGGCAAGTCAACATCAAGTGTAACACTGAAGTCGATCAGCTGTTCTATTTTTTCTGAATCAGGGGTATCAGCCTCTAATGCATCTTGGGCGTCTCTTTGGAATTCGATCACTTTGTCCAGCAGTTCCTGTAGATAAATCAGTATGATATTACTGTGGTGTTAATGTAACGATATTAAATTCAGAACTGGTTTTGTGGAGATCCCCACTTCGCTGCCAAATGAGTTTTCATATTCAACTCATTCACCCCTGAAGATGCATTTGAACTCTTCCAATACAAAGATTGGAATAGTCCATTATGAAATTCCAGGGGTGAATGAGTTAAGTTTGATGATCCTACATGGAAAAAGTATGTGAGAAATGCTCCAAAATCAGCTTTTATTTAAATGATACTTACGATCAAAATGTAACTTACAAGAGCGACATAACTTTTGTTTGGGATACTTCCCTAGATGAAGCTTAATGATTGTGCATGAAATAATAATACTGAACATTTGTTCCACAATTTTTCTATGAAGGAGAACAGACTGTCTGGTCAGAGATAAAAACATAGGTTTTTAGAGTGCAGAGACTTGTTTTTATTACTGGTACTTCCCTTATTGTACCCAGCACTAAATTTGTTGATCTGACCAGAAAACTTATTGAAGAAATGCTCCATAAAGAGTTATACTTTGACTGAGGTCAGAGTTCAAAATATACCTCACAGTGACATAGGTTTGGTTAGTGATATTCCACCTTCCTTAGTTTTTAAAACTATCTCTGTTTAATTATTCTGTAGGAAACTGTATAACACACCAGAAAACATTCCCATAGATCCATGTAAGGAAAGGCAAAATACATCACCCCAAACTTTCATAAGATGGGGTACAATAAAACTCCATTAACCTTGATATTTTTCTATACGCTGAAAATTAAAACTCTCAAAATATGTCAAATGTCCACAGCAGTATATTGTAGGTGTTGTGTTCAATTATTGTACACTTGGTTATATCAACTATTCATTATCTTACCTTGATCAGTTTGGCTTCTTTGATAATACATGGTAAGTTGTAGACTTGGTCATAGAAACAATTCAACTCGTCTAAACTGAGCTTGGCTATGTATTTCCCTTCCATAGATTGTCTGTTCCTGTCAACAACAAAACAAATTTCCTCAAAATTCAGTTATGATTGCAAAGCTATTTTCCCAAATCACTTGTAGAGTAAAACAGAATGTGTTGAGTTCAGTTTGTATCACTGTTTTGAGATATGGATATGTTACCTTATGAATTTTATACCAAAAGATTGAAATCTGACAATTTGACATTCATATTCATTGTATGGAGTAATTGGTATGTGTTCATACTTTTTTTTATCTTTCTTCCGTAAAGGTAAAAAATTGGTGCTCATCTTAAATTTGCAAACTGTAGTGCAGTTGTGAAATTAATTAAGTTAAATCCCTCATAAGTTAGTAGATCTTGTACTTCAATTATATTATCACATGATCTAACAACTAGTTGGACAAGGTAGCATGTATCCTTATTGATTGCCTTTTTATTCATTACCTGGTACGGACTTTCTTTGAGACCAGCTGATTGGCAACACTGGCACATTTCTCCGCTTCGCCCACAGCATCAACAAGGGTGTGCAGCAGCTCCGTGTCGGGGTACCGCTTCTCCTCGGCCTCCATAATTAGCTCCTTCAGCTCGCTTATTTCTGTAAAGAAAACAATCAGGAAATGTCTCAGAAATAGGTACCCTAATCTAGCCCCTTTGGAATGTGGTACATGTTCAGTAAATCAGAATCAGAAAGATTTGACTGTTGACCTTTTGCCTTAACCTTTCGGGTACAAACCTTAACTCATTCTCCTCCAAAATTTCATTTTGAACTATACTAACCTTTGAATTGGAAGAGTTCAAATGTGTCTTCTGGGGTGAATGAGTTAAAGTAGTATACAAACCATTTGCCTTGTTTTCATCTACATTGTATATTGGAAATCCTACCAATATATTGGTACAGAGCCTGTTTATAGGGAACACACACACAAATGACATCCTCTTAGTACGTACATACCATCTGATCATTATTCTAATAATAAATAATACAGTTTCTCCGAGATTCAACTTACAACATCTATATTGCAAAATAACACAGATTTCATTGACAAGACTTGCTTCAATAATGTCAACTCACCCAGTCGATCATCCCCTGCGGCTTCCAATGCCTCGCCCACTTTGCTAGTCCAGTTGTCAAAGGACTCTGCGCGAACCTTGAGTTTGTACAGCATGGCTGGGAGCTCGTCCAGTGTGTACCTGTAGCGGAGGCAGTGACGTGACGGGTCACAATCGCACAGCATCTCCACATGATGAATACACACCAGCTTGTCTGTAATACAATCATAAGTGGGGTTATGTCCAACTGTAAGAATGATGATCTTCGCTACTTTTGTGTTTACGGAATCTACACAAAATTATGCACATGACAAAAAATTAGGTATTGACACAACATTTAAGACATAAGTAACAACAGGACAGGATTACAATGCAACAAATATCCAACAACAATCTTCTTATAATCAAAATATATCAATTAGTGAATACTACACAACCTCCAATTAACAAGGCAAAAGTATTGTAGGCAGGATGTAATCTCACAAATCATGGCAAGCTTCGGTAAAAATGAACAAAGGGCCATAACTCTACATAGTGGGGCAACACTCCACCATTCCATACAAAATTTGGCAACATAGGGGACATAATATGAAAATTCTAGAACTCGTTGACACACAATGAACCAATGGATTAAACAATGTACATAGCAGAGAAAGAGACTCAATTTCAGTATAAATTAAAACTTTTTTATGCTATTGACTAAAATCATTTCAATTAAGACAAAATATGGGATCTTGCAACTGGTAATACACAAAATTTGTGTTAGTTTTAAACTATATTGATTAAGTGTGCTGTGGAATAAGCATGCACAGCCGTTGCTACTAGTATAACAGATGATAAACTAAAGATTTAAATAAAGTCCAACAGAAATATTGCTTTACTTACTAGGACTACAAGGGCAGGTGACTCCCGACAGGAAACAGGTTGTTTTACATGAGTCACATTGCCTCTCATCATCAGGTAATAACTCAAATGCCTCACGCTCAGCCTCCATGGTACCCTACAAGTAAGGAGATTTTTGCTTTAGTTATTACTGTTATTGGCATTTCCATATATCTACTTTTACTAGAACATTGAACAAGATTCAAAACATTTGATTGTAATATTCTGACTCAATAAGTATTTACAACAAACAAAAAACTTTTTCAATTTAAGAATGACAGACACATGCTACCTTACACGTTTTACCTGTGATTTGTTTTAAGAGTTATTTCCCTTCAAAATTTTTAATGAATTTGAGAGATTTCAAATTATGAATAACCACAGCATTATTACCGCATGATTCTTGTATATCATAAAAGTGTAAACTAAGTCCTTTATTATAATAAAAATGTGTTCTTATTTTTAGTGTGGAACTCTTTTTGAAAGGACATCACTTCAAAGTAACATGTAGCATGTATCTTTAAGTTGGCAATATTTCAAGTCTACCCCTTTTCTCGTCTGATTGATAACTACCCACCAATGATTTAATTAACACAACTTACTCTGTCTAGAAGCTTCTTGCGTAGCTGTTTCTCCTTCTCAACGATTCCCAGTAAATCATGGTGGGTACAAGCAGCGACCTTGAGGTCAAGGTTGTCAGGATCAGCAGCCATCTTACACACCAACTCCTCATGGGAGAAGACACACTGGCGATTCAAGCTTCTGTAGTGGTCAATACAGGCCCTACCAATGGGTAGCTGCATAAAAAGTGGAAAAGTAAAAACATTGTTATGAAAATGGAGCATATACTTTTTAATGACTGGTTTATATGATTTACACAAATTTATTGTATTTTAGGGATGAAATATTGTAATATTCAAATCATGTCATCATCCAACAATAATACTATGCCATAGGGCTGTCATTGATGAGAAAAAAATGTATTGATACATTGATGACAAATAATATAGATATATTGACCAGTCATGAATGAAATGCAATCATTTCCATTCTAAATGTCAACAACCTCTATTTAAGGACATGAAATTTTCATACAGCTATTGTGTCTAAATTGAAATACATTTTTTTATACAGCCCAGTTTTGATATGCTTAAATTGTATCAATATCATATCAAACAAGTTTTTATCAATGTTATATCGATATTGAATCCATCAATGATAGCCCTACTATGCCAGAGTTTTTCCTGGAATTTGGGCATTTCCACCTTATTTATGGTATGAAAAATCAATCAATCAACTACGCTTAATGATATGTATCTTTGATAGTTGTTGGTACAGGTAATTTAACAGTGAAATTCTTAATTTGCTCCTAAAAGTATGGAGGAAGGATAGACTGATTTTCAGTGCTGAACTAAACAGGAACATTATACTATCTGTGAAGTGAATACTGACCCAGTCAGCTGGACAGAAGTTGACTGCCTCCGCAAAGTTGTAGCCTTGGTTGAATCCAGCGTGATAGGCCCGTGGGAAGGTAACAATGAATTCTCCAGCGTGCTGGTTGGTTCTAACAATCTGTTAATGTAACATTAAACTCATTACGACTGTACTTTTAAAAAATAGGTTTTTGATTTCCTTTTAAATTCTGTTATCACAGTTTTTAAACTTCATCACTCCACAGCAATAAAGGAGAGGGCCTAGTATAAGTTGCAAGAACTTGTGCCCAATCCCTTCGACTGTTCAATGTCAATAAAATATGTTTGAATAAACAGCAGTAAAAACTGATAAAATTACAAGCAAATATATTACTTGCTGGATGCAAATATTATGAAACAGGAAATTAAAATGTTTGTTACACCTTTCAGAGTCAGATACGAAACATCCTTTAAATTGTTTTAATATACATCAACAGTTTGTCCACAATGCAAGAAAGGATTGATATATGAATCTAAAATAACAAGACTATTTGATACACAAATCTAGTTTATACACGACATAAGGTTACATACCGGAACACCCATGTCCATGAGTATATTTGGGTTCATAATGGTGGTCAATTGATGCAACAGATCTGGTGAATGCTCAAACAGCTCGGGAGCATTGGCTTTCATGGCATCCTCGAACTGGTCGGCACACTCGCCCGGAACCCCATACCATGTCTTAGGCTCACCCCTGTTATAACAGCAACCCGACATATACAGAAACTGTTGTAAGTGAACTTTGTAAAATATCATTATATAGATCACAGTCAAACCATGTCAAGTCAGACACTTGGTTACCAGAAACAAAGTAAATGTCTCTTAATCTCAATGTGTGGACAAATCATGAAAATATCACTTAAGGAAAATATCCTATGCACAGTATTCTGTTTAAACATTGATTGTTTGACCTCACAAGGAATAAATGTACAACCAAGACTGTTAGACTACAATAACACAGCACCAATACAAGCACTCTCCAGACCTTGTTCAAGTCTGTATAGCTTTGTTCAGAATTATGATATTGTAACACTTTACATATTTAGATCAGTTTTCATACAGTCACATGAAAAAGTTAACGAGTGTAGCCTACCAGTGGAGATAATTGATAGAGTAGCTCCAGTGGTCCTCATTGTGCCAACAGAAGCTGGAGAAGCACATCCCAACATAACACCAGGGAATCTGTTGATTATAAAGAATTGATACATTTTCCACAAGTTGAAAATAAAATATTTAAAACTAATTTGAGATAAAAGACAAGGCAATTACATATAAACTTATTCAAAGAGTACCGCAGAACTGAAGGAGAGCTGATTCATCCAGTGTGTTATTCCTTTATATAAGCACACAAATCAATATTGTAATACCTAGTGTAAGTAATCCATATATGTACAATAGAGACAACTTACATACAACAAACAGTTATGGATGTGGCCCTCGCCTACCAGCTATCAAGGGAGATAACCATACAAAGGATACAAAACAGGTAAAATATCCTACCTTCATTCCAGAGATGTCAGCATTGATGTGGCAGAGAACTGACTGTTCTAGAACAGGTAGATTGTTCAGGTTCCAACCAGAATTAATGTACTCCTAGCAACACAAATATAAAATGTCATTACAGAATTGTGTAACAAAAATAATTTTAAATGCTTTACGCAGAAAAAACATTTTACTGGCACACCCTTTCACATTCCACTTATATAAACAGACTTTTAAGTTTTTGCATGCGTAATGCATGCAATGTTTACACATGTATAGGGGCAATAAATATAGATCATTTTGTAGCTATTCTGCTACATAAAATTTTGATTCAGGTCAGGTACATATTATAGCTTATTGTATAAGCAAACCTTTCAGTGTAGATAAATCTCCAACAACACAATGTGTATGGAGACATTCAAAAGGTAGATCTGTACCCTGATGGTGAACTCGTCCAGGACTACATACCTCGTCTTCAGGGAACATGTCTTTATTGTCCTTGGTGGGGAAGCCACTGCCCATGTCGGCCGCGTGGATATCAGCACCATACTGTACACACACATCTTCCTCAATACAGTTTACCAGGCGCCAGAACTCCTTCTCCACTGCCTCGCAGCTGACCATCTGTTACAAAAGTTAACTTGTTATGATCGGGACTGTAAGAGCAATTGTATTAAATACACAAATTATAGTTAACTGCCACTATCAAGCAACTTCTGGCATTATAAAGGGGTCCGTCATTAAATCTTGGGCAATATATAAAGGAATTGTTCAGAAAAAAAGGAAAATTTGCTCCTGAAATATGTTGCCTTACAAAGGACATTACTACATACTGATTTTTTTTTTCTATGTGACAAAGGCTCTGCAGCTTATACTCGACATGTTATCATTTGATACCCAAGAGTTCTTCAGAACAAATTTTATCTTAAAACATACAATTTCCCACACAAACACTGCAAACAAAACATAACATGGCCATCAAAATGTTACATCCCGAAAACACATTTGAACTTTAAGAATCAAAACTAAGACTTTCTCAATATTTAACGCAAGAAGGCCTAAAACAATATAAACTGTTATAATTTATAATAATCCTAGTGCCCGATTCCTACTTACATGCACTGGCATACTGAAGTAGTTGGATTTGAACTGATCTGCCATCTCTCCAAAGGACTGCAGACTGTACTCTCTCTTTGCCTGTTCAAACCCATAGGGACCCTGTGGTTTACCGCACACCTGTCGTAACAAAATTTATCAAGTTTTGAACGGCTTCCTGTTCAGCATTTTACACTGATTACAATAAATATACACAGTTACAGCTATCAACCAACAATAAGAAACCAATGTCACAATCCTGAGCGTATAACAAAGACATAAAAAATCAGGCAACGGTACCGACAGCTTATATAAATGCCAAATCAATTGGTAACAATGTAAGAAAATCGGATAAAATTAACATTTTTCAATTTTGGTTTTAAAACCTTGATACCAAGTTATAACATGTTTCCATCTTTTTAGCATCTAAAAGTTCAGAACTCATTGCAGAATTAAGTGTGTGTTAATACGTACCTGTTGAATGCACCGAGGACATCGCCAATCCCCTTTAGGGACCTCTTGTAGGGGTGGGATCAGACAGTAGGTATGGAAGGCGTCGTCACAACCATCACAGAGCAGCATGTACTCGTCCCCGTCTCCACGGCCACACATGTGGCAGATGTAGCTATCCACCTGCATCACAAATACACACATCTAACATCCTGGCTCACCTACAGTGTGTAACATCACCTAACATCCCAGCACATACAAATACACACATCTAACATCCCGGCTCACCTACAGTGTGTACATACAAATACACACATCTAACATCCTGGCTCACCTACATTGTGTATATAACATCACCTAACATCTCAGCACATACAAATACACACATCTAACATCCTGGCTCACCTACAGTGTATAACATACACACATCTAACATGCTGGCTCACCTACAGTGTGTAACATCACCTAACATCCCAGCACATACAAATACACACATCTAACATCCTGGCTCACCTACAGTGTGTAACAGCACCTAACAACCCAGCACATACACATACACACATCTAACATCCTGGCTCACCTACAGTATGTAACATTACCTAACATCCCAGCACATACAAATACACAATTCTAACATCCTGGCACACCTACAGTGTGTATCATCACCTAACATCCCAGCACATACAAATAAACACATCTAACATGCTGGCTCACCTACAGTGTGTAACATCACCTAACATCCCAGCACATACAAATAAACACATCTAACATCCTGGCTCATCTACAGTGTGTAACATCACCTAACATCCCATCACATACACACATCTAACATCCTGGCTCACCTACAGTGTGTAACATCACCTAACATTCCAGCACATACAAATACACACATCTAACATCCTGACTAACCTACAGTGTGTAACATCAACTAACATCCCAGCACATACAAATACACACATCTAACATCCTGACTAACCGACAGTGTGTAACATCAACTAACATCCTAGCACATACAAATAAACACATCTAACATCCTGGCTCATCTACAGTGTGTAACATCACCTAACATTCCAGCACATACAAATACACGCATCTAACATCCTGACTAACCTACAGTGTGTAACATCAACTAACATCCCAGCACATACAAATAAACACATCTAACATCCTGGCTCATCTACAGCGTGTATCATCACCTAACATCCCAGCACATACAAATAAACACATCTAACACCCTGGCTCACCTACAGTGTGTATCATCACCTAACATCCCAGTACATACAAATAAACACATCCAACATGCTGGCTCACCTACAGTGTGTAACATCACCTAACATCCTAACACATACAAATACACACATCTAACATGCTGGCTCACCTACAGTGTGTATCATCACCTAACATCCCAACACATACAAATACACACATCTAACATCCTGGCTCACCTACAGTGTGTAACATCACCTAACATCCCAGCACATACAAATACACACATCTAACATCCTGGCTCACCTACAGTGTGTAACATCACCTAACATCCCAGCACATACAAATACACA